GGCCCGCAGCGCGGCGGCGACGGCAGGTACCACGCCGCCGCCGCCGTCGCCGCTGTCTGGGTAGTCGGCGAGCTGGGCCATGGTGCGCGGGGTGCCGCGCATGTGCATCAGGCAAATGGTGGCGCCGAGGCGCGCGACGGTGGGCAGCATCGCGGCGTCGAGCTGCCCCGCGGACACGTCGTTGATCATGTCGGCGCCGCGGGCAACGGCCGCCGCGGCGACACCAGCGCGGTACGTGTCCACGCTGACGGCGACGGAGCGGCACGCGGGCATGGACCGGATGAGCTCCACGACCGGCAGCACGCGCGCGACCTCCTCGTCGGCTGTGACCTCGGGCCGGCCCGGCGCGGTGGACTGCCCGCCAACGTCGATGATGGTGGCGCCGCCGCGGACCATGTCGAGAATGGTTGCGGATAGGTCGGGCGCTGCTGCATGTCTGCCGCCGTCGGAGAAGGAGTCGGGCGTGAGGTTGAGGATGGCCATGATGCGGGATGTGCGGTTGGGTGTCAGCGGCGTGAGCGGTGCCGCGCTGGCGGAGATGCGGGTGACGGAGGATAGGGGCTCGCCGACGGCGGCGAGATCGTTGAGGTAGTCTTGGACGAGCTTCCACGGCTTGGAAGGGTCGATTGACTGGGACGGGATGAGTCTAGACACAGAGCGATGTTTTTGGTCAGAATGAAGAAGGCTTGGGGGGAGAGGTTGAAAGAAACGCGGGGGGGGGCTAACTCTGATAATGGTCGCAGGACGAATTCACGTTCGGGAATGCCAATATGAGGAATAGTCAATCTTTCGTTTGATATCCTTTCATCGCCGTAGAGTAGAATGTCGAGGTCAATATTTCTGGGACCTTTGTCAATGAGTTTGCGACGGCCAAGATCCCTCTCTATCGACTGGAGCTCATCGAGCAGAGCCATTGGCTGCAATTCAGTCTCTACCTGTATGCAACGATAGATTAGCATTGCAATCCCACACTCAAACGCAACTTGGACACGAGTATCTCGTGTTTTTGATGAGTGGTTTAGTGATAGTGCTGTTTGTCCAACACTTGACACGTTTCACTCCACGTCGGGCTAAAACAGGCGGCACCACATACCTCACAGACGCCATTCAGGAAACGGTCCTGGTCCGTGACGTACATGGGCTCCGTCTCCCACAGGCTGCTCGTGCGCGTGACCTTGATGCCTCGCCTGTCCATCTCGTTGCATGCGCGCTCAATCTCCGCCACGCGGTCCCCCAAATTGCCGCCGAGCGCAATGTACGCCGTGTTGGTGCGCTTGCCGCCTCGGCAGCCGCATCCTGTCGCGTACAACCGTCTGTTTCTGTTGCTTCTGCTGGCCTCGAGCAGAGGAGTCTTGAGCGAAGCGCGGCGAGAGCACGCAGTCATCGACAGAAGCGCGGCGGCTCGCGAGCTAATGGCACGAAAGGCGCCCGCGCGGGGCTCTTGATACGCAGACAGCCAGGCAGCACGGGGGAGCGCCCGAGAGGCAGACTGGGAGAGCATGATGCTAGTCATGTGTGTGGCGATGGGGTCCCTGGACGCGCGCGTTATTGGCGCATCGCCAGTGTTTGTCGATGTGTCGAAAGAGCGCCGGCGGCTGCGGAGCAGTTTTTTTGTGGGAGACACCACTGGTGGGCAGCCAGCGCCCATTGTCTACCCAATGTAGCACAGAGTAAACAAGAATTTGCACGTCGTGTTTTTCTTCTAATTACATCTACATGAAATATTCCAGGGGGCTCCTGTCTGTGTTTCCATTATTCTCAGGGCAGAGGACGAAACGTGCAGCTTGCCGCTGCCCGCGTTTACTACACCAGAGAGCCCCAAAAAGGGAAATAAAGGTCCGCGGCCCGGTCGTTGGCGGCGGTACTTGTCGATTATATGATAACAAGTGGGCAGTTAAAGTACCTTTTCGAACCAACGCTCCGTCAGGCGGCGCGCCAGTCACCAGCGTGCGCGCTGCAACAGTTTGCATTAGCGCTGCAGCGGGTAGCCCGTCATAGGCCCGGCTCAGCAAGCTGCAGTATGCATGCAATTCGAGGTCAGAGGGGGGGTATTAAGAGGGGGAAAAGCAAATCAGTCATCTGGAAATAAGCTTTGCGATGATCTGGCTCGCGGGATGCGGCAACTCCGAGCGGACGTAGTCGGCGAGACGAGCGAGAATGCGGGCAGGAGATTTGGGGAACGGGGTAAAGGGGTATGGGGGGAGAGGGGGCCAAAGATTTTATCAATCAGTGGTAATGCGGAAAAGGTGTGGCGACGGGATGGAAGTCGCCGGCCGAAGGTGCCGACTTGACAATGGACGCAGTAACTACCTTGTCGGCCTGATAATTGGCTTTCGAGATTTTGTGGGAGAGCAAAGAGGTTAGATGAAGGCTTGTGACAGCGCCATGGCCGCTAAAAGAATTTGGGGGGGCAGATAGCCGGACGGCAACCTGCTCCAGTGGCGAGAGTTGGCTATATGCGCTGGAAGGAGGAGAGAATGGGGGCCCGCTGGAAAGGACCGCTGTAAATCGGTGATGGGCTGTTTGCCTGAGCCTGCGCCAAGGCTGAAATGAGATATCGCTGCGTGGCCATTTCTCGCGGGTGTGATGAGTAGACAAGCAAACAAGCTAGTAAATACCGGAAAGATTGAAACCCTTTTATAAAACCATATAGCTCCAATCAAGGATTACTCTACCATTCCCTTCCTTGCCTCTCAGAGCGGCACCAAGTCCGATGGGTGCGCTGTCCCTCGGCATCTTACCCCAGATTGTATGGGGTCTCTCAGCGTGTCTGTAACCGCCCCCAGAAGCTGGGCCAAGTGGCTTTTCAGTGGTACTCTAACCAGAGCCTTTCTCGCCTCTCAGTGGTCTGATGGACCATTGTGCAGCGCTCTGCCCCACTCTTCTCTCTTCAACACGCTGCCACCCTCCGAGCTTGTGCCTCGGCTCATTCTGCTTCCCCGGCGACACTCCGCGCATCCAAAAATCCGTTATTAGACTTGCCGTCTGCGCCCTTTTACCCATTTCTCCTCCTTCTTCTCCTCCATCCATCTTTTTGTCTCATCTTATTTTTTAAAAGGCAATCTGACACTCTCGTCGTTTGCTGTTCTTCTTGCCCTCTTCTCCCTCAAATACCACAACAGTCACCAAAAAAACCAGACACAATGGCCTCTCCTCGTACGTTTGGGATTTCCCCGCCAGCCCTCGGCCTCCGAGGGCCTCATGCTCACGCAGCAAGAAAAGAAAAATCGCTAACATGCCTTGTGCAGAGCAAATCCGCACTCCCATCACCGATCTTTTCAAGATCAAGCACCCCATCCTGCTTGCCGGCATGAACGTCGCTGCCGGTCCCAAGCTGGCCGCCGCCGTCACCAACGCCGGCGGTCTCGGTGTTATTGGTGGTGTCGGCTACACTCCCGAGATGCTCAAGGAGCAGATTGAGGAGCTCAAGTCGTACCTCGACGACAAGAAGGCTCCTTTCGGCGTCGACCTGCTTCTCCCCCAGGTCGGCGGCAGCGCCCGTAAGACCAAGTAAGCACAAAATCCCAAAACCCCAGCTCTCTGCGTCACACGCTAGGCTGGCCAAGTCACATGCGCAAAACGCCCCGAACTTGCAAACATGCACAGTTTGACGCATGCGCACGGCTGAACCTTTGGAGATCTTCCTTGTCCCAGCACTTGTGCTAACATGTATTTCTTCTGCGCAGCGTCGACTACACCAAGGGCAAGCTCAACGAGCTCGTCGACATCATCATCGAGTCGGGCGCCACCGTCTTCGTCTCGGCCGTCGGTGTTCCCCCCAAGCACGTCGTTGAGCGCCTGCACAAGGCCGGCATCCTCTACATGAACATGATTGGCCACGTCAAGCACGTCCAGAAGTGCATTGACGTTGGCGTCGACATCATCTGCGCCCAGGGCGGCGAGGGCGGCGGCCACACTGGCGACACGCCCACCACGGTCCTCATCCCCGCCGTCGTCGAGGCCGCCTCCAAGGCCAAGTCGCCCCTCACCGGCGGGCCCGTCCAGGTTGTTGCCGCCGGCGGCATCCACAACGGCCAGCTGCTCGCCGCCTCGCTCATGATGGGCGCCTCTGCCGTCTGGGTCGGCACCCGCTTCATCCTCACCGACGAGGCCGGCGCCCCCAAGGTCCACAAGGAGGCCGTCAAGAACGCCGGCCACGACGACAACATCCGCACCATCATCTTCACCGGCCGCCCCATGCGCGTCCACAACAACCCCTACATCAACAACTGGGAGACGCAGCGCCAGCAGGAGATGAAGGAGCTCGCCGCAAAGGGCACCATCCCCTACGAGGCCGACCTCGACAAGTTCATGGACGTCATTGACTCGGGCGACCAGAAGAAGATGGGCGAGGCCGCCAAGAAGATTGGCATCGAGGCCCTCGCCATTGACGAGGACGACGACCCCATCGACGCCTTCCGCCCTCTGCTCATGGGCAAGTGCGCGGCCGTTGTCAACGAGCAAAAGTCGGCCCGCGCCGTCGTGGACGAGTTTGTCAATGATGCCGTAGCCTGGTTGCAGCGCGGCAACAAGATGATTGCCAAGCTGTAAATTGCGCACTTGACAATTAAAAAAAAAAGACGCGATGAACAAAGAATGAAACAATGTGAAAGAAAGCATCTACGAGGGTCCGGCTTCGGCCAGTGTCAGAATTCCTGACGATTTCTGGATGTTTTTTTTATTACTTCCTTTTGTCATATATCCTGTAGACTAGAAAGCATTTGAATGACGAGCACAATAACATATGAAAAAAAGACCATTCCAAAGTGTTGATTCAGAAAGAAGTTACTGACTGTTAACAAGTGTTCACCATCAAGATATTCATTAGAAAAAGATGTTGACCAAAAAATGCTTGACCAAATTGTTTATTTGCATAGCTAAACTCGTTCCTGTGATATTTCCTTACTTCCTTGTTACATCTGACCCTTGCCACTGGCTACTTCGCAGCAGTACTTTGACATGTGATATCAAACCCTCGCGCCGAGCACCGCGTTGCCGAACCACCACCAGCCGACGCCACCACCGCCTTTCTGGCCTTCCCCACAAGTTCGTGTTTCCGGTGAGATTTGCGGAGAGAAAGGGGGCAAAGAGCTGCAAATCTCCGACGGAGTTTCCCCATACTCCTCCATATTCCTTGTATCAGCGAGCACGAGGGCATCATGTGCGATTGAATCGACAGTCAATCCAAGCCATTCTAGGATGCGGACTGCTAGAGAGTGCAATGGCCCGGTCAACTCCTATAGCGAATCGCATTTACTCATCATGCCTAATTTTCATATTTTTTTATTCAATGCACCTTGCTTTGTAATAAGACTTTTGTACCCTCGCCGCCTTGTGTTTCAATCCCGCCCTAAAACAAAGGAAAAACGATAGAAAAAAGTCTTGGAAATTATCGAAATAATGCTGCTGATTGTAGATCGGACTCGCCCCCGTCGTTTCCGGGACCTCTAAACCCCAGGTGTTCCGCTGATCAGATGGGCGCACGTGCTTCGCCATTGTGATATTCATTGTATGTCACCTCTTTTTCGTCATTTCACTTGCGACACAGGCTGCGCATGCAACTCAGTTGCCAAGGTACTGACGGATCGCACCTTGCAGACGAGTGGCACCCTCACCGACCAGGTTGCCCAGATTCTCAAGATCGTCACTGGCGGTGATGCCAAACTTGCGTACAAAGTCCTTGGCGGCCGACTCTAGATCGCCATACTCTTCCTCGGGCTCGTCCTCCGGGCGACCAAAGTAGGCGTTGGAAGAAATTGACGTCGCGCCTTCAAAACCTTGCAGGCGCGTCTTGGCCTCGGCCTGCTGGTTGGGGTCATAAGTTCCCTTGCCAAAGTATTCGTCTGATGAGATGCCCTTCTGGGCGCCGAATTTGCTGCGAGCATAATTTTCAGAGTCATCTGAGAATAATTCCATTAGCTGGCCATTCACGCGTGACTACAATACTCCAGCGTAAACTTACCAACAGGAGCCTTGACGGGCCCAACAGAGCCAAAGCCGCCGGCATTCTTTTTGGCCTCCCTAGCGGCAGCAGCCTTGGGACCGCCAATCTGGCCAAAGCCAAGTCTGGCGACACCCATACCGAGTCTTTCCACCTCAGAGCTGGATTTTTGTCGGCTATGTGAGGAGCCACCCTGTGCAGGGTTGATTGGAGTGGGTGAGATAATGGTGGCAGCAAAGCTCGAGTTGGCAGGCGCCTGCTCTTCCTCCGCATCGGGGTCATAGCCCAGCTTGGCGATGCGATCGGCCTCCTCCTTGGCCTTTTTCTCGGCCTCGTCAAAGTCGATAACATCGCCAGTAACCTTTTTGGCTCCAAGCTTCGTCGTCTTCTTAGCACCGAGCACGTTGGTCTTGCGGGCGGCGCCTGTGGTGGTCGTCTTGCGCAGAGCCGCAGATGAGGTGCGACTGGTGGCAGGCTTGGCATCAGGAGTGGCAGCGGGCTTAGCCAGGGGCGAGGCGGATCGGGAGCCGTCTTTGCCGGCGTTGATGAAAGGCGATGGCGTGCGGCCGACAACAGGCGGTGTAGCGGTACGCGAGATCGGAGGAGTAGGTCGCTTGATGGCGGGCTTATCCCACGACGAGAAGAAGTCGTCCTCTGGCTCTCCGGCCGGTGTATCGGAGGTCTCATCAGTACCATCCGTGATGATAACCTCATCGGGATATGCCTGCGCATCCTTGGCTGCGCGTCGCTTCAGCTCCTCCTTGTATTTAGTGGCGGCGTTTGACTGATATTTGGTCTTGGAGTCCTTGCTGTTGAGGGCAGCGGTGCCACCGTTGGCACGGAAGAACTTGGCGGCAGACTCATTGCCGCCAACTTTCATCAATCGCAGCTGTTCCCATTGCCATTGATCAAGGTTCGTAGAGCGGACAAAGGAGATGTGGACACCGAGGTTGCGGTGGTTCGAAGAGCAGTCGAGACACAGATAGATGCCAAAGGGGACGGAAGTCCAGGTGGGGTTGTTTTGGCCACAGTCGAAGCAGGTCTGGTCGAGCAGGACTTGTTAGCCGAAGCTTGCGCATCAATGCAGTCAATACAGAATTCTACGAACCTTGTTAGGTAGCTTGGACTTGAGCTTCTCGAAAATCTTGAGCGACTGCTGTTTCGTCGCGAGGCCACTCATCTTGGCGGGCGGATCGCGGGGGTGAATCGAGGGCAGAGGTCCAATGCTGAGTATGTCGAGCCAGCGAAGATGTGTTCACGATACTAGAGAATGTGCTAGGGACAAATCGCAATCAATACAATTGGTTGGTCGCGCGTGACGATGGTCAATATCAAATCAGGAGAACGGAGGTGAAGACACGACAGGGAGCGGGCTATGTTGGTAAAGTGGCATGAAGGGAAGCCGCCCTTCGTCATTGGATGAATTGTGGCCAACGCCCCCACCTTGGGATTCTGCCGAAGGCGGTACGCTCGCGACAGACAGAATTGGATTGGCGATACCTCAAATAAAGCTACAAGAATTAGGCTTCCTCTTGTCGGCAGCTGTGCAGTATTGCATCAGCTCATAGTTCTGTGGCCCACATTTTGTATTTGAGGAAATGGGTGCACCGCTCTCGACATCATGAAACCCGTCACCTCTCTCGTGGCCCTGCGTCCGGCGACCAGCTTCCTCAGCGCCAACGGCTTGCGCGCATCCACAATTGCTCGATCGTATGCGACGCAGAATACCCAGGGGCCGACACCTTTAGGGCCAAAGAGACGGAGTGTGACACCATTCAACGACGATGGATATGTGCCATGGCGCGAGCTGTCCATCCCAGAGAAGGCCGCCCGCGCCACTCAGCAAAGCTTCAACTTTGGACTAGTCTTGGTCGGTCTCGTGCTCACCGTCAGTATTCTATAGAATGCGGATTCCGCATCCCATACTTTTTGTGAATCAAATCTAATGATGCTTCACAGGGTGGTGTCGGATACCTTTTATGGACAGACGTATTTTCCCCAAACAGCAAAACGGTTCAGTTCAACCGAGCCATCGACAAGATCAAGAAGGACGACCGATGTCTGGAGCTATTTGGCGATGCAAAGAAGATTCTCGCCCACGGCGAAGAAACGAATAATAAGTGGCAGCGTGCACGACCTCTGGCGTATGTCATGCGAAGCTGGAAGCATCAGCCTTTGTGATGTGATCACTGACGTGCATTTGCAGATCCTCCGAACGAGTGGACAAGCAGGGAGTTCATCACCTGCTCTTGCACTTTCACGTAAGTACGATGTCTTTACTTTGATGGACTGTGATCTGACAGTGTCGCAGGTCGAAGGCCCTCGCAATCACGGTGTGGCGCAAGTCCACATGGTCAAACTTCCCGGCCACTCTGATTACGAGTACAAGTACCTATTTGTCGATGTCAAGGGCCATGAACGCATCTATTTGGAGAATTCCGAGGCGAACAGGTCCGCTACCGGCAAGAAAGGATTTACCTTGTTTGGAGCCAAGTGGAATTGAGACAGCATATTGAAGACCGTCTCTGGAGGGTCGCGTTTACCCATACCGGCGACAACTGACCTTGTACAATCTGTATACTATTTTGGCATCATGAGCAAATGGAGCTTTATACAAAAGAGCATGAATAAGGAACGGCTGGGGACATTAAGTGGATGTCATAGGAGCTTCTTTTGAACTCCTCCGATTTCGTGATATTAGCACCGCAAAAGTACCTGCTACTAAAGAGAGGTCAAGTTTCAACATTGGGTATGCACGGGGAAAGCGGAACGAGTATTCCGACGGTCTCAAGGAAATAACAGGCTGTGGTAGCATCGATGCTACACTGTCGGAATGTGCATCGCCAACGTCGCGGCAGCTGTCAAAGGCTATCGAATATGCAGATGTGCTTGCACGCCGGTGGGAAGGCAGTCAACCTCAGTCAATATCAGCAGACCCGACTGGCATGTGGCCCAATTCGGCCCTGCTGTCAGAAACGAGCCGCTCCTGCCGCTCCTGCCATTGTTGGCTTGCTACCAAGACACCATTGATACCGCTATCAACTCGAGGCTGGGGGTACATGCATGATCCACACCACATGTATCTTTTTTCGCAAAGCTACGGTATACATGGGGATTCAATTCCAAACGTAAACCAGCTTCTGAATGGCGGGGATGTGAGTCTCCCGCACCCCAAAACGGACCTGCCTCCTCGCTATCCTCCATCGGAGATTCGACTTTGCATAGCGGCATCCGAGCAATGTACACATCGATAGCACGGAGAAGAATTGAGGCGACGGAGACCGTCGGAGGGTGTGTAGGTAGAAATCGACAGGGTAGCACGCAAGAGGATGAGGCTCTGCGATAGGGCCCAGCCTCCCCTGGTCTGGGGGAGATTTGGGGGAGCGGGGAGAAAGGACCAAGCGGGACTGGGGTTTTGGCTTTGCTGAGAGGACGGAGAGATTGAAGATGGTCACAAATGCGTGCGGAAAAAGCATGTGAAGCTGGTCATTGCGTCAAAGACAGAGGGTGGCACATCGCCAGAGATACGATCAGAGGCACCGCCCATGCGGATAAGCGGCAGGAACTTGGGGTCACAACTCACGGGCTAGTGAAAAGCCCCCTCTGCAGCGATAGCCGAACGCGATAACTTTAGACTCGCAGGTTGCTTGTTGAGCCTCATTCCAGTTAACCTCGGCTATTGCCTGATAGCACACACCAACAGCTTCCTCCCTCCCCCCCCCCCCAAGCCAACGGCCACGGCGCCACCACACCACACCACACCTCTCTCCACTTGGTCTTGTTGGGCGCATCAGGCGGGTAGTCTAGAAGACTTTATTTTTATCCGGTAGTGACCCAACCTGGCGGGCGCGTGCGCGCGCACCCCGATGTTGCTGCTGAACCAAAACCCCTGTCACAGCCTAGAGATTGCCCAGATTGGCCACAGACAACGATGTTTTATGCAGCTACCCCACGGCGGGAACCAATATCCCATCGAGGGTGGGGGAAGATTTGGGCCGAGGCACAAAGAATATGTTGGCGTTGCTTGACTGTTGCCTGAAGTAGGCGCGCTGGCAATAGGTCAAGAAAGCAGAATGATGGCGCACGATTCTGTTCTTCATGCAGGTACCTTGTCCAGCCGGCATACATACGAGGGTTGAAACATTCAAAGGTAAGGTAGATTACGCAACTCTGAGCTGCCAGATTGCGGGCGATTTGATGCACCCCACCACCTTGTTCACCAGCAAAGCAACTTTGTTGGTGGTCCGGTAATTCCATTGGAATGTAATGAGCGCGTCCGGGGTTGAAGATGACCGTGGAAAGGCATGAAAAGATACAGTCATGTCGGTGCTGTCAAGTACTGCCACGGAAAGTTTCAAGGCAAGCCTCTGTCCTACAGGGGCTCGAGACATTTGTAGGGGCAACATCGTCATCATGACTTGTCGACTGTTTTTGGGGGAGGGATCGGATCATGGCGGCCCCCTCCGATGGCGACGGGATATGAAGTTGCGTGTCCCACGGCCGTATGCTCGTTGACTTTTGTTGAATCGCAGATCATTGTTTATGCGGCAGCGGCAGTAAACGTTCGGCATACATCGGCTGTTGAATCCATGCAGGGCCACATATATTGAGCCAGCATCTGCAGTATAGGGTTTCTTCCTACTTCAAGTATATGCGGAGTTTATCGATATCAATGCTAAACCAAACCATCTTTGTAAGTGCTTGGAACGCTCGACCAGGGCTACTCGCGCCTTTGCTGTCGCAAAATCCAACGTAGAGTCGCATCGAAAACAACAATGTTACATGATGCCTTGGAAAGTTGTCAATCTGCTCCAGCACGTCTCCCTTGTTGCGCTGGGGACTACGGTGCGTCATCGTGTGCGATGTTGTGCGGGATCCGCCGGCACAGTATCAAGATGCGGAATTGAACTTGTCAAGATATTCATTCGTCGATCAGGTATGTACTGATTTTGCTCAGTCTTCAGGTCGTTCAGGCCACAGGGCTGTTGGAATCATCAGACTGCAGCGTCGCATTCGGGAAACGGGAAGTAGCCTAGGCCGTTTGGTCCGTCAATTGGCAAAAAAAAAAAACTTGCTGTCCATAGTGTCGCCCTCACCACATGTTGTAGACGGCCCAGTTTCTCGCCGGCAAGCAACCGTCGCGCCGCGTTGCAACCCTCTTTGATCTTTTTTTTTTTTTGGCTAAATAATTATGCGCAAATGGCCCGTCTGGGCTGGTCATTTGAAATGGGCGAGGTTGCCACACCCACCCACTCTATAATAGCGAATGGAGTGTTATGTATGCATCGGAAGATCGATGCGGGATTCACGCAAAGGACCAGGTAAGATCAGGCCATGCATACCGGGCCTTGCTGCATCGCGCTCTCGGGGCGGAGTAGACGCCCGCGCAGATGCGTGAATAAGGAAGAGATTTTCCACTACCTTGCCTTTTTTTTTTTTTTTTTCTCTCTTCTTTTGGCTTTTTGTCGATGCTGCACGAGAGAGGGGAGGCTTTTGATCGTGCACCTACCTCTCTGGGCGGTACCTTTTTATCGCAATGGCATGCTGGAGATTCAACCCATCCGCTCCATGACGCCACAGCCCTGCAGAGCGCTGCTGCAGGGGCCTCGTTCATTCCGGCCATGTACCTGGCAGTTGAAACTATTCGTGTATCATTTTGACACATTCTGACCTTTTTTTTCTCCTTTGTTTTTCGACTTGCACCAGCTAAACAGCCCTTTTTGTATAGTGGTGCGCCGGCTATTATCCATCTCGTAACTTGACGTAAAACACGCACACGCCCCCCGACTCCATCTGGCCGGGGAAAAGCAAACGCCTCTGAGGCTTTTGCCTAACCCATTCCTTCTCTCCCCAAAACCAATCCTTGCTGACACGGGCTTGAAGGCACTATTTTATTACCCCAAGATATGTATGAATCAGGAAGGACGACGCCTCTGCCACTTGCAGTAGTTTGACGCCCAGCGGAGCAAGCAGTGGTCCTCAAGGCATTGCGCTATTTGCCCAGGCTTTCCAGAGTACGGAGCAGGGTTGCAAGCGATTGCTCTATATCGGCTAGTATAACACCATACCTCTTATTACGCTGTTGCTTTGCAGACGGCCATGGTAGCCACTCGCTGTGCCCGTTTTATACGTAGCGTGGTTGCATAACGGTGCGCAAGAAGCACTCACTGCAGGGCACCCACCACCTAGCTAGTACTGGTAAAGGTAATTTACGGAATACTGACGAAAGGGTGGGAAAATGGACCTCCGAGACTTCCCGATACTGTAGGTAGTCTGTGAGTCAAGCTGTACGCAACCAAAAGAAACCCCATCTACGGCGGGACCGTCCCGTTAAAAAAATAGAAATAGGGCCGAAACTAACTATTTTCTTGATAGCCTAATAAGCGCTTGGGACCTGTCGCAAGTTTTGCAACCCGACGACTGACATCCATGGACCATAGACGCTGATAAGAAACGTTGCGCCGTCGAAGGGGGGCCCCAATTGTAGGCCCTCGCAATGCTTCCCCCCTTGCATTCCTTTGTTGATTGAGAACGAGTCAAGAAGCAGAGGAGAGAGGAAATGGAGATTGAGTTGTGCACTGCCCAGAAAGTTGTCGCTCTGCCTTTCTCCTGGGGTTTGCCTGCAACGTAGTAGCTTGCTTAAAAAAAAAANAAAAAAAAAAAAA